TTGAGTAATTCCCCTTTTTAATGTATGTTACATTTGTTTTATATTTAAAGGAAAAAGATGCATGGAACTAGATAGTAGCTTATTATGTTAGATCATCTTCACTATCTGCATCTCAGTACGGTATTATACATTTACAAGCAATTCCCGCAGGAGTTTGTTAACAACAAACTGGAAATCTTCCACCTAGGTGTGGATAATGTACTTTACATTTTAAAGAAGCTACATATGCTGCCAGTCTGTATTATTTTAGTAGCTCTAGCTAGTAAAAGTCCAGAAACTAGCATTGTGCAAAGCTAAAATAGCTCTAAATGATTTTCTTAAATGCTGACAGCATATGTGCCATTTTCAGGGAAAATTTTAACCACTCTTACCTGGTTTGTGATCACAAACATGATCAGCCGGGTCAAGGCAACCTACCGCTGACACTTGGGATAAAACGTTAGGGTAGTAGGCTTAAGTCAGTTGTTTTTCTTTGAAGTGTGACAGCAGAGTGACTACAGTTATCTGAAAAACACTCTTTGCCTTGTCACTACTACAGCACTGCAATCAGTAGATAGCATAAACATTGCTGTCTAGGTACGGGTGTGTGTCAGACCTCTGTAAAGAAACCACTGCTCTCACAGGCAGGCTTTACCAGGCAACCTCCTGCTGTGAAAAATTGAGTTTTCTCCTGAGGCTATAGAAGCATTCAAAAAGATATAGACATAGAACACTATATGAACCAAACCTGACTGGATTTGTATAGTATTTTTGAAATGGCTACAAATGGGATCTATGTATGAGTGAGTTGCAGCCTGCTGCCACCTAGTGGACTAATTGTACATGCACATATACATGAAAGAGCCTGCGCCACAGGTCATGCACATTTTCATTTGGGAGTTCCAACCTGTTGCCTCTAGTGGATTCATTGTATAAATGCATACATATGGCTAGTCATTTACATTTATATGTGTGTAAGTTGCAGCCTGCTGCTACCTAGTGGACTAATTGTACATGCACACATGCATAAGACAGGTCATTTCATTTGACAGTTTGGGAGTTCCAACCTGCTGCCCTCTAGTGGATTAATTGTATAAATGCATACATATGGCTAGTCATTACATTTATAATGTGTGTATTTGTAGCCTGCTGCCACCTTAGTGGACTAATTTATACATGCACACATACATAAGGACAGGTCATTTCATTTGACAGTTTGGGAGTTCCAACCTGCTGCCCTCTAGTGGATTAATTGTATAAATGCATACATATGGCTAGTCATTACATTTCTATGTGTAAAGTTGTAGCTTTGCTGCTGCCACCTAGTGGATTAATTATACATGCACACATACATAAGACAGGTCCATTTCATTTGACAGTTTGGGAGTTCCAACCTGCTGCTCTCTAGTGGATTGTATAAATGCATACATACTGTATGGCTAGGCATTACATTTATATGTGTGTAAGTTGCAGCCTGCTGCTACCTAGTAGACCAGTAGTGTAAGTATGCATAATATACATGTGTATATGACTAGTAAAAGTAGCTTGTATACCCTGAATGTCATTTAGCTAGTTAGGAACTGCTTTCACTTGCTCTGCTGTTTGAAGAGCAAGCCACATTCAGATCGTTCTTCGGTGAACATTTCACAGGAGGTGAGGAGGCGTTGCATCTCCTCCCCACCACCTGCATTAACCCTTGAACCCTTCGGTAGCACACTATGGTGGAGCGATGATGGCAGGTTGCCATTCAGTGGTACTGCCGCCGCTGAACGCATACAAAGGGATACTTTTTGCCTTGCCGTGATGCATTGCATCTTGGGTGTGCAGCAAAGGTACACCCCTGTCTGCTGCCTTTACAGCATGACTGGTGGGAACATAATATACCCCTAGTGTAAACGAGACCTTACAAGCACTCCATATAATAAACAACTTCTTAAAAAAAATGCTGTTTCATCCACCTTTTTCATTCTTCCATCTTAGTGCTGCTGATTTTTGCAGCCTCATTTCAGCCACTTCTGTCAAAATGCATGCACTTCTGAGATGGCTGCATGGTGTTTCTTGAGACAGGTTTCCTGATAGTTGAAAAAAATTAGAACATATGTGTTCAGTGTATGTTGGCATGTGCACTTGTATTCTTCATTGGCATTTACCTATTTATAAATTACAGCCTGATGCCACCTAGTGGACTAATTGGAAATGCATGTATATGTAAAGGACAAGTCTTTTCATTTAAAGTTAACTAAAGGAAAAACCTTTTTTTTTATTTTGGACAGAGTGGAGATTTTCGAACTAGGGTTCACAAACACCTTGGGGTGCCTTCAGGTTTTCTTCAGGGATGCCTTTGTGAAATGCCTAAAAAATTGTATACAAGCCAGCAGGTGGACCAAATCTTCCTTTTAGTTACACAAAGCCACAGGTTTTCATGCATCTTACAAACCTACCAACCTCTGGAGTCTTAATACCCAATAATGTCATTGATTCCCTAAGGGGGGTGTCAGGAGTCTGCCACAATAGGTAATATATTGGCGCTGGAGAGATGGGGTTAAATATTACAGTCCCATAGGTAGTAGGGAGGTATTCAGTTAATGTAGAAAGCACAGTCACGAGGGCAGCACCCTATAGAGTTAAGTTGGACTTTGTACTGGAAGATAAAAAAGAGAGAGAGGGCGCCAGACTAAGTTGCAGTATTGACAATCATTTATTGCACACAATGGTTAGTAACTCACAAGATGTAAGTAGTTAGCAGGCATGGATACATAGGGACGTCATCCAGATGGAGTTCAAGAGGCAGAGAAGAGAGGGTGGATGGACATCTGGGGGCCACGGCAGAGGATTCGATGTGAGTCAGGAGACCTGGCTTCCACCACAGCTGTGGCCCCCAGATGTCCATCCACCCTCTCTCTCTGCCTCTGAAACTCCATCTGGATGACGTCCCTATATATCCATGCCTGCTAACTACTTACATCTTGTGAGTTACTAACCATTGTGTGCAATAAATGATTGTCAATACTGCACTTAGTCTGACTCCCCGTCTCTTTTTATCAGGAGTCTGCACAGCATCCTTGCTTGTCCCTCTCTGTCCACAATGATGGGGGGGGTCACATTATCTGAGTGAGGGAGAGAAACTGAGGGAGAAGAGAAACATTGGCATACTAGTCAGTACCAGTGTGCAAAGATGTATTTGCTTTGGAAGAAATAAATCACCTCTAATGTTTGGTGTCGTACATGAGCGGTTATTGCTGTGTTATGTTAAACTATTAGATTCCTATTTTACAGTTTAAAATGGGATGCCTCGAGATTGTGCAGAATTTTAAAGGGTGCCTTGACTGAATAAAGGTTGAGAAACACTGGATCAGAAACCTCTGCCAGTTTTTTATGCTGCCTGCACCCCCCCCTTCCTTAGGGAGATTTATCTTCTATATTTGTCATGTTAACCATTTTTCATTAAAAGACAAAGTAATAGAAAATCTTGTCCCCAGAACAAGGATAGAGGGGGAAATTTTCCAATGGGGACACTAGTTCCAGTGACCTGGGCGGCCCCAAAAGATTCCCTTAATTTCCAGGGATTTCCTCATGCTAGAGAGAGAGCCTGCTGCCATCTAGTGGATCAATAGTGCATGTATGCATACATACAGTATAACTGTACATGACCAGTAAACGTTTGCTGTAAACCCAGGGTAGCCAGCTTTAGAGAGATGGGAGATCTACCTGAACAAAATTGGCAAAGTCAAAGATCCCAAGGCACAATGTACTATTTGTTAGGGCCGATCAAATACACATATTCACCAGCATGCCGCGGACCACTGAATACCGTCCAAAGTCTTTTATGAAGAATGATCACATGACAGAGGACATAGGGCAACATTTCAGAGCAGCACAGGCCAACTTCATCAGGCATGTGAATAATTGTTAGGGTCCATTCATACCAGAATGTGGTGCGAGAAAGGCATGTTCTGTGCGCATTTCCGCGCTGCCTTTGTGATCTGCTGCAGGTGCCAATACATTGCAGATAGGAAATGCAGTGCGTTTGCCCTGCACCCGATCACATTGGTACCGCAGTACCATGCAATTTGGTACAGTGCAGGCATTACTTTTTGTGCAGTCAGATGAGAAGTGTAGCACATTCAAATGGATGTGCAGCAAAATCTCACCACACTGAATCACACAGGAACGTGGACCGTGGAGCAGGCATCTCTGATAAGCGATTCATGTTTCAGGCAGCTTTTCAGAGGTGTTTGACAGGTGGTGAGATGTCACCCTCCTCACTGACTAATTTAAACCTACAATTGACACAGCAATTAAAGGTTTTACCGCCTCCCACCTGCCATATAAGGAAATGATGGGTGCAAGGCGGTTCTCTTGTTCTGGGAGGACGTCATATGACGTCCTCCCACTCTAACCGCACGTGCGTGCCCCGAGAGCACGCAGTGCGGCGATCGGTGGTGCGCTGTGTCCCTGGGATCACCGATCAATGGAAAGAGCCGAAGACGTTGGCTCTGTCATGTGATCAGCTATGTCCAATCACAGCTGATCGCATGTAAATAGGGAAATGCTGGTTATCAGCATTTCTCTGCTCACGAGCTGTCACGCTAACAGTTCGAGAGGAGAGCCGGTAATCGGCATTCTTCAGAGGGGACATCTACACTGATCATCACGGCACTGATGATCAGTGTGCCTTGATGATCAGTGTAGCCCCATCAGTGCCACCTATCAGTGTCCATCAATGCCACCTGCCAGTGCCCATCAGTACCACATCAATGCCACATATCAGTGCCCATCTGAGCTGCCAGTCAGTGCCACCTATCAATGCCAGTCAGTGCCACCTATCAGTGGTGTCAATCAGTGCCACCTATCAATGCCAGTCAGTGCTGCCTATCAGTGCCTGTCAGTGCTGCCTATTAGTGCCGCCTAACAGTGCCAGTCATTGCTGCCTATCAGTGCCATATATTAGTGCTGTGGTTCAGTGCCCATCAGTGATGCCTGTCAATGTCCATCAGTGCCACCTACCAGTGCCTCTTCATCAGTGCCGCCTATCAGTGCCCATCAGTGCAGCCTATCAGTGCCTATCACTGCAGCCTCATTAGCGCACATCAGTGAAGGAGAAAAATCACTTATTTACAAAATTTTATAACAGAAACTAAGAAGAAACTAATGGCCACTATTCAGTGCTCCTACTCCTCGACCTCTCCGTTGCCTTAGACACAGTCGACCACCCCCTCCTCCTCAAAAAAACTACACTCCCTTGGCCTCAGAGACTCCGCTCTCTCCTGGCTCTCATCCTATCTGTCACAACGCTCCTTCAGCATTACCTATAACGCTACCACCTCCCCCTCACTCCCCTCTCTGTTGGGGTCCCTCAAGGCTCTGTCCTCGGCCCCTTCTCTTCTCCATCTACACACCTCCTCCCTTGGCCAACTCATACACTCTCACGGCTCCAACTTCCACCTCTATCCCGACGACACGCAAATCTACCTTTCGACCCCTCACCTCCCCCCCCTCAGTCTCCGCCAGAATCACATGCCTACTGAACGACATATCAACTGGATGTCGCTCTACTTCCTTCCAACCTCTCCAAAACCGAGCTCCTAGTCTTCCCCCCAGCCCAGACACCACCCCCCATTGACTTCTCCATCACATCCAACAATGCCACCATCAGGCCCCCCCGCAGGCCAGAGTACTTGGTGGTCATTCTAGACTCCAATCTATCCTTCCAGCCCCAAGTCCAATCACTAACAAACTCATGCAGACTCCACCTCCGCAACATCGCCAAAATCCGCACATTCCTAACCCCAGAAACCACTAAGCAGCTCATCCACTCCCTCATCATATCACGACTCGATTACTGCAACTCCCTCCTCCCTGGCCTGCCCCGCCACAGGCTATCCCCGCTTTAGTCGATCCCGAATACGGCAGCCAGACTCATTCACCTTTCCAACCGCTCCGTTTCTGCCACCCCCCTCTGCCAATCCCTCTACTGGCTTCCGATTGCCTAACGCATCAAATTCAAAATCCTAACACTGACGTTCAAAGCTGTCCATCATACTGCTCCAAACTACATCACTGACGTAATATCCAAATACCACCCAACACGCACTCTCCGCTCCTCTCAAGACCTCCTTCTCTCTAGTTCCCTGGTCTCCTCCTGCCATGCCAGCCTCCAGGACTTCTCCAGGGTGTCACCCATCCTCTGGAACTCCCTACCCCAATCCATCAGACTATCACCTACTCTCCTCTCCTTTAGGCGCACCCTGAAAACCCACCTCTTCAAGGAAGCCTACCCCACCCCCCTGCTAATTGCCGACCTCCTCCACTCTTCCTACCATTCCATCCCCCACAGCCATTTCCTCCTGTACCACTATCCCCTCCCTCCTAGATTGTAAGCTCCAAGGAGCAGGGCCCTCAAACCCCTCGTGTATCGCATTGTATTGTTATTGTACTGTCTCATGTATTGTCTCCCATTGTAATGTACAGCGCTGAGCGAACTGTTGGCGCTTTATAAATACTGTGTAATAATAATAATAATTCACATCAGTCCCTAACCCTCAAGAGGCGTACAATCCCTAACTTACATACACATACTAGGGCCAATTTAGACAGGATCCAATTAACCTACCAGCATGTCTTTGGAGTGTGGGAGGAAACTGGAGTATCCGGAGGAAAACCTGGCAGTCACAGGGAGAACATGCAAACTCCAAGCAGGTGGTGCCATGGTTGGGATTCAAACTAACTACCCTAGTGCTGCCAGGTGGAAGTGCTAACCATTTAGCCACTGTGCTGCTCATGTAGTAGAATACATTTTTGGCTAAATTTATGAAGAACATTTTTTTGTATATGTTTTATAGCACAAAGTTAAAAATATTGTCTGACTTTTGTATTGACTGAAAGTTGTAGTCCTGCTGCTGAAACACAGCGCTGTATACTGTATGTACCTGAGGCTACATACAGCTTACACAGAGCTCCCTGCAACTGTGAGTGCTGGTTCACATATGTGCAGATTAGATGCGGTTTGAACTGCATACAATCCGCATGACATGTGAAAAAGCATTGCCACCTATGGTGCCTGTTCACATATGGTAATAAAGATACCGTATCCAAAAATTAAAAATAAATAATACAACCCTGTGTGACACTCCAAAAAGTCCCACTTTCACCCTTGAAAGTCAAATTATAAAAAACCTTTTTGTGTTAATAAATGTGCAAAGTCCAAAATAAAGCCAAATAAATTATCTCTCCGTGTTCAACTTCAAAGTCCCCATCCAGATAAATTGTATACCTAAAAAAAAAAAAACAGAAAAACTAAATAGTGTATTACCTCCAATATAATCAATATGTATATACTTCAATATAATCAATAGGGTATATACTTCAATATAATCAATAAGTATATACTTCACAAATAATTTATCAAAATGTGTGCAATATATATATATATATATATATATATATATATATATATATAGCCTGTTCACATATGTCTGGTGCAACTGGCGGTGCAGATTCAGTGCGGTTTGAAAAAGAGTACTGTCTGATTTCTGAGCAGTGCCTTCAGGTTCCGGTGCAGATTATAGGCTATTGACTTCTATGGGAACCTTTTCTAAACCACACGTGTGAACAGGATAAGATCCTGAGCTAAACCAGTCCTGAACCCAAGGCCGGTGCAAGGACATTTGCCTACATAGGCAAAGGTGCACTTTGGTGCCCCCCCCCCCTCCCTTCAACTATGCAACCCAGCCACCCCCACTGTCTCCTGCTGGGACCTCCTTCACATTGCACCTGTATTTTTCATGGGGTGCAGCATGAAGGATGTCTCTTCAAATGCACCCAGGATAAATCTCCCCAATCCCCCTCTCAGCAAAAATCTTCTCCCCCATGTCTTCCCCTTCAGCACACCACCCCTATCCTAGTTCTAATCCTCTTCTCCTTATCCTCCCCAGCACAAGTCCTGTCCCCAGTTCTGTCACAAATCCTCCCACACCGCATTCAATGCACTGCAGTTGTGATCTGTAGTGGTTGCCAACTTAAGGACTCCCCAAGTGCAGGTCACAAACGCAGTGTGTTTACCTGCACCAGATCCTATGATAAAGAAGTACCACGTGGTCCGGTTGCTGTGCACTTTGCAAATTAGTGCATGAGCTGACACAATTTCAGCCCATTTAACCACTTGCCTACAGGGCACTTTTACCCCCTTCCTGACCAGCCCAATTTTCAGCTGTCAGTGCTTTGTTACTTTGGATGACAATTGCGTGGTCATGCAACACTACCCATATCAAATTTTTATAATTTTTTTCCACACAAATAGAGCTTTCCTTTTGTGGTATTTCTCCACTTTCCCTCCAGAGGATTTACCCCCCTTCCTGACTAGGCCATTTTTGCGATACGGCGCTGCGTTATTTTAACTGACAATTGCGCAGTCATACAACACTACACCCAAATGAATTTTCCTTTTTTCCCAACAAATAGAGCTTTCTTTTGGTGGTATTTGATTCCTTGTGCATTTTGTTTTTTTTTTTTTTTGCGCTGTAAACAAAAAAAGCGGACAATTTTGAAAAAAAAAAAAAACAATATGTTTGACTTTTTGCTATTAAACATGTCCAGTAAAAAATTTTGTCATAAATTTAGGCCAACATGTGTTCTACTAACTTGTCTTTGCTAAAAAAAAATCCCAATATGTGTAAATTAATTGGTTTACGTGAAAGTTACAAATGGCGGTATATATACTGGAAATTATTATTTTTTTTACTAGTAATGGTGGCGATCAGTGACTTAAAGCGGGACTGCGGGACTGCAGCAGGCATTCTGACACTGGGGGGGGGGAACTGACTTGATGTCACTGACATCCCCAGTGACACCAATACACTGATCAGTGCTAATAAAAAGCACTGCCACTGTACTAATGGCACTGGGCAGGAAAGGGGTTAACATCTGGGGCAATCAAAGGGTTAACTGTGTGCTGTGCTTTACACTGTAAGCGCTGCTTTGTATTGCTCTGCCATGGTGACACTGTTGGGCACTTTTTGGGGCTGCACTGATAACGAGTGCTCTGATTATCAGTGTAGATTCCTGCTTTCACAGTTGCCGGATCTCGGCACTACTTTTCTTATGCAGTGTACTGAAGTTAACCAGCAAGTGTATTTACATGGTAATCAGCTGTGATTGGACACAGCTGATCACGTGGTAAAACGTTGCTGTGATTGGCCCTTTACCGAGTCATGTGATTGATACAGGAAAACATGGGAACCGAGAAGGAGGAGGAGGGGGGAGAGGACTTCATTCCTCTCTGCACTGTGTGTGTGGTCAGTGTGCTATTGTCAGGCAGCAGACGGGGACAGGAACACATGCGACTGCCGTGTGGGAAACACCCTGCACAAGCTGCGAGGTAGGTGTCACTGGAGCTAATTTGCCGGAACTTGTTCCAATACTGGGCTTTCACTTGAGAGTTCACATACTGGGATCTGGATTTGAATTTTACCACCCCCTCATCTCCTGGCGCTGCCTATTGCTTGCACCGGCCCTGCCTGAACCTGTCTAAACCTGACATGAACCGTTGAACAATTACTGTATCAATTAGCTGTGAGACCTGAGCTTTAATCTGCACCACACATGTGTGAATCAGCACCAAGGCCGGCCATATATGGGTCGATTTTTGAATGATTTTTCGTTTGAAAATCGGACCTGAGAATAATTGGCCGATTTTCACTCTGTTAGTGGGGCAATGGCACTGGCTGATATTCGTGGTCCCAGCCCATTTTGTTTATTGGGCATGCTGGGAAATTTGTGAAAAAATTACAGAACGAACAATGTCTTTGATTGAAAAATTGTTTGGAATTCGGCCCATGTATAGCCTGCTTTAGTGAACTAAATAACTTGTTGGGACCAGCTTGGTCCAATAGAACAATTCAAAGATAAAAGAGAAGTATGGCCAAAGCTTTTTTTGTCCAGATTTCTCTTCTGGGTCACAGGAGTGCTCTTATTTCTGCACTCCTGTGACCCAGATTCAGCCAACATCAGTCTAATGCCCACTGGTCCAGACTCTGGATGGGTGGGAGCCTGAGCCAGCTGCTGTCACCCCCCTCCATATCTCCAGTGAGCACTTGAGTGAATGCTCAGTTCTCGAGCTTCGAGCCAGAGGGGGCACAGATTG